CAAAGTCAACAGATGTTTATAATACAAATTACAAGAATCCTATTCGTTTCATTGGAGGAATTTTACGTGGTCGTGGCTATTCTCTTGAACTACTAGTCACCATCACCAACTCACCTGCATCAGCATCACCAACTTAAATCAGATTTTTTGGCAAAATTAAACGGCCTCTGTACACTTCGGTATATAGTATTAAGCGAGTATTTCACATTCAAACTAAATAATGGAATGGAAGTGATAAATTGTTTCAGATCATTGGGTCGCTATCAGTGACGTCTACATAAGAATCTGACAGTGCTCTTCGCTGATAAAAACACCTGGCTCTGATTTGTGAGATGTTCATCACACTCTTAAATACATATTCTTGTCTGACACATTTTTGGAATGAATATTTTATTTTCATATAATCTCAATATTACCACAATTTCACGATGTATTGTCAATTCCAGTTGTCTAGTCCCGCAAAAAGGATATATTCAACGTGGAGCAGAGTGGAATCAAGACGAATAATGTGGAATCAGCAGGCAGCGAAATTTCTTTCTAACCTCAAAAGTTATGAACATCATTGATGTCAATGACATGAACTTAAAGATTTAAACGTCTACTAAGTAACATACCTCTAGAATATTAACTTTGAGGTCGTACAGATAGATCAGACAATACGGCTCGGTTGTCACAAATACATTTAGGCAAACTGAACACTTTAAACATAATAAAGGTACATTACTCTTTGGTTTTGACTTCTGATGCTCCTGATTTGAGTTTCTTAATTTGAAATGAGTTACAAGAAAATTTAAGTTTCAGGAGTTATTCACAAGTATTTCACAAGTTATTATTTGAAACAAAAGTGTACATAATTCATGAAAATAGTATTATTACGGATTCATCATCATCACCATTAGCATTATTATTATTATTATTATTATTATTATTATTATTATTATTATTATTATTATTACATATATCTCTATGTTCGGGTGCGATTGAAACTCAGCAATTGTTTTATTCCTAGAAAATCGATATCAGTTCCGCTCCACCTTGAATGATGTAGTACTAATTCCGTTCACGAAACAACCGGTACTACCTATCACTACAGCATACTAACATGTGCTATTATGAGAAGATTGCAGGCATAAAACGTTATTCTCTTGGTACTCTAGTCCAAATATAAAAAAAATGAACACCAAGAGGTTCGGAAAATAAATAGAGTTTATTTAAAACAAAAGAAACACAGCGTAGAAGACGATCAGCAAACAATTGTACAACATATTAAGAAAGTAAAATATGTTTTCTGATAACTTCAAGGTAATTTAGAACCCAAACCACAAGTAACATCACAAACTGAAGAAACAACTTTGCAATTTAGAGCGCAACCAATTTAGAAAGAGTATTTTGCGGACTGCTTAGCTGTATCAATTACTTCTGGTCTACACAATAGGATTCCGTTGAGATGCGTTCTTCTTACCAAATAAAAATACCTTGAAAGGGAAATTAACTATCCGCCCCAAGTGTTTAAGTACCATAATGAGTGAATTTGTGGTGGTTTCTCACGCGCAAGTCAGCCATTTCGCTACTACGTGTAAAGTCAACCACCTGGTGCGCATGGTAGGTAGGCACTAAACACGCGGATAATTGATACTCGATCGACATGCTTCTCTCCTGCACCTCATTCACCGAAGCGGATGCGAACAGTGTATATCGTCGGCACCGTCGGGCAGGTCATCACGCCACATCCTTTGGCAATGAACTTGAAACTGTTTCAGTGCATCACGTTCACGTGGGAACGTAGGCGTTACTTTCTACTCGCGGCACAGCGCCATCCAGCGGTAATTACTCCAGAAACAAACAACGTCCACCAATATAACCTCCACAAGAAACAAAATATCCTGACACTGATCCAGTCGTTCGGAAAGTAAAAAAGATGCGCGGCATATCGGAAGATGAATGGAAATACATTATCTGCATTACTAAGTTTAACATCAAAATTTCTATATTTAAGAAACTAGTAGAAATTATTTCTGATTACTATTATTTCTGGTTTTATTTGCAACTATCCAACAAAATTATACTACTTTAACCCGCAAAAAAATATACCCAGGCAGGGATTCAAACTCAGCGTAAATTGCTCCGCGTTACAATGCACCACTAGTGCTGGTTAAGAATATATAAACGCTCCCAAAGCATCAACAAAAAAGTTGAAATTTGCAATTTCAAAATTTGAGAAGTTTTCGTAAATATTGGACTAGTGATATTTTATAAGCGCACTTTATCGGAATAACACAATTACAGGGAATGTGCTTCGTACTTAAACTTTTCCTCTTCTACGTGTCACTAGTTTTTACTCAACAACGATTCAGATTTTTTAAAGACTGTGCATGACAACATTTAAATATTCCAATTTGAAGGATAAATTGATCTGAGATGGAAATTTTTGGCTTTAATTACGGAGAATGAAACGTTCGAAGATAAACCTTAACTTTGCAATTTTCAACATTTCACAGATTTTATTGAAAATAGAAACATACCTTTAAAAAAACCCGCTTTCATCTGTTCCAGCAATAAAATTGTAGACATTTTAGCGAAAAAATGAAAATGTGCTATTGCTACCCTAAAAATAAAAGAATCGAATTCGCAATGCTGTGACTGTTGAAATTGATCGGAAAATACCCGTTTTAGTGAAAATCATTAGGACAGTTTTAGGCGCCCCATGTTCACAGAGAAAGACAGACAAAAGTTTCGAAAAAACACGACAGATTTCATTAGAACAGAATTCAGTTAAGAAAGAAAATCTTCTTTGAAATCATCGTTGAAAGTGTAGTTTTAGGAAGATAGCAAAACCTTGAACTCTACATCTGTGATTTTAGAAAATTAAAGTTTCAAAGAAATTCTGGTGAAAATCGTATATGTGGTTTAGGTGATAGTCAACAGACGTAGAAATGGGCAGACGCACAATAAGAAGATGATTTCAGAAATAAATACTTGTTTTGTTTCATGGGCCACAAATATTTGATTTTCACTAAATTTTGTATTCGCGAAATCTATTTACTACATACAGGAGCAAGAAAAGTTACCTTTCCGGGTTATAACGATGCTCAAAACATCGCTTTTCTGACGAAAAATCGATACTTTTCCCTGCAGCGTTACATAATTTCATTTCTAACAAGTAGACGTGAGAAAATAAAAATGTTTAAAGAACTAATATGCAATCTCTGATTAGGAAAGCAGATTCTGAAACCAAGCGCTGTAATAAAACTTATTGCAATGCTGTAATAAGGCAAATTCCATGGTCTTACACAAATAATTTTGTATGTTAAAGAGTAAAATTGACATAACTGTAAATGTATGAACATCTATTTGTGCATACATTTGTTACTATGACATTAAATTTGCATTTCATTTGGACTGCACTAAAAATAGTGTACATTTCTAATTCATTTCTATTATATTCCAAATGCACTCATTATAATGGTGTTTGCAATTAGCTACTATATGTACTAACAGCATTAATGATGTGTCCACAATACGCAATATTTTGCTGATGCTTCAAAATATATTCCAGAGCGAAGCAAGAACAATTGTTTGACAAATATTGCTGTACACTGAAGCAAGAATGTTTTTTTGTAGTATTCTTTACGTCAGACCACAAATGGGAAAGGCCAAAGAGCACAGCTTTTCTCATTTCAATACAAACGCGCAGTTGGTACAATTATTATAGCCCGACTTTGCATTGCAGAACCCCGGCAATGCTGCGCGTCTAATGGATACAGTTTATGAAATGCTCCAGGCTCCTGGGTCAAGTATCCGGCCAAGTGCATTTGCATAAAAACTCATGGATTAAACATTTGTCATTCAATGCAAATCGAGCCGACGTCACGGATGTGGGGATAAAGACTGCAGAATGGAGGGGGAGGGGGAGCTTTCTCAAGTTCCCCCACCAGTCTTCCAGGTGAGGCGGTAGTTATTTCACTTTTTGGGTCAGTTCAATCTGCGCGCCGCTAGCAGATAGATAGCTAGCATGTCTTAACTAACCTCTTTACAGAATGGCGCTTTGGCCATTTCCTTAGGTCTAGAAAAAAAAATATTTAACTTATATATGACGCGATTTCGTTTGAACTTTTTTCTTATTTTAAAATATAAGTTTTACTCTCGGTATGAGATAGAAGGAAACAACCCGATGCCCGAGCGCCCGGCATTGCAGAAAGCAAAGGGCCCAGGGAGTAAATGGCATCATTGTTGTTTATACGCACGGCAGCGAACATGTAAGCAAATACAGTGTCGCCCCTGTGTTTGGTAATGCAAATTACCTGAAAAGCCTCATTTATTCTAAACGAGATAATATTTATCAAATTACAACACGATTTGACAAAAGCTGACTAAAGACGTGAAATGCGAATTTGCGAAAACAGTTTATTTATGATTAATACACGAACTATCAAGAATATAACAATAACTTTGTATAAGTTCCTGAACTTTAAACTCTTCGCTATTAAAAAAAACATTTACGAGGATTTACATTGAAGAATAAGAAAAACATGAAAGAAATTCAGGATGTGAAATTCAGAAAGCAGCTTACTAAATTAAAGCTTTAAACATCAAGGTTTTATTACCCTAGGATAGTTCTATAACAGTTGATCTTAAGAACTGAATTGATAATAAAAAAGGTCTATAAAGACCACAACAAAAATTATGTTTTTAATGACCTAGCAATTGACGTGATCTTCAATACGTAAATTTAAAAAAAATGTTTCATTCTCCTCTTTCTAACCTTTCCTCTTCCCAAATAGGACGACAAAAATGATAAGAATATCATCAGCGACGAATGATATCGTGTGTCAATGGGCTGTCCAATTATATGCCATCCAGCGGCGGGTCCTGGGAAGGGCGGCCGTGCGAAAGGAGAGATTTTTCTACGCACCCAAACCAAACATTTATGGATAACTCTTCTCGTATTACTTGTACGCTTCTCTTCTTTTCCCAATACTTATAGTGGAATTATATTGCAACTAGTATCCTTCTAAATCTCCACCTAAAAAACACATCACCAAACAGAGCCCAGGAGGCTAAAAAAAAGCTTTAAAACTTTGATTTTTGAAATTTCATGTTTTACAGCCAATCGCACTTTCGCCAGAGTTCACTTCATTTGTTCTCTAACGTAACAAGACGATCAAAAAAGAAAGCTTCCCTGTCGTGGCACTTGAAACTTCGCTCTTCCCACGGTAACTCCTGAGCTAACCAGATAAAGCAGAATGAGCCCTATTTATTACCAACTAGCTGTCGGGAACCCGCTAGACAGTGGCGGCTAGATGTGAGATAACGACGTACAGTTTACGTTCTGGTACGGAAAAAGAAAAGAAAACTGTCAATATTTGTGCCGGTGAAGATCTCTTATAAGCTTCAATGTCATAGCAACATACACTATAATTAAGGAAACCAGAGCGTCTTACATCTGGGCCGGTGTTCCACTTGGAAGGGGGAGGTGATACTATATTAATTTCAATCTACCTTAACCAAAAATTTACAATTTATTTTTTTGTCAATCTAAGAGACGCTTGCAGGTCTAGCTCATCTTGACACCCCCACTCCAAAGCATAGGTGGTTAGTAACGTTCAAAATCGTGAAATCTACGAACCTTTAAATGGACTCTTTGCTAATCTGTTGAATTTAATCGCCTGGATCTAAGTTATTTTGATCGTTAATGAACTCTTAGCTATATTAGATTGAGACCCACGCACCGTGCCTATGATGTAATGCACAGTTCATAGCCTTGCCGTTCCATGCTAGGTTCTATTGGAGCTATTTTTCCGTTAAAAATATCATACTGTGTTCGGAATGTTCATAAAAATCCAAATACTAAGAAGTATAATACCAGTAATAATGTCAGTTACGTGCGCAATTCTTCTCATAATAACTTGAAAAGAAAATGGAAATTTTGTCATGAATGTTTTAAAGAAGTCTACGGTTCCTTTGAATACTGCCCAACTGTCGTGTTCCCTAAGACTTTTTAACTTTCAAAACACAACCGTTTTTATAATTACGAACTGTACGCCACGAACGCAATACCAGGAAACAAACTAGATAGCGTAGTTGAGTTTACTTATTTATATGAGCGTATTCATGTCAATTTCAACGAAACCATTAAATTTAAGAAATATAAACTTGGCAACAAATGACAGACATCTGTTCAAGCCATGCGGTCATATATCACACACATATCGACTTTAATGTGCTAAAATATTCTGCTACGTCTTATCAATTTCGAGTTTAATGTACTCATACGCTAAGGTATTCCGGAGTGCCGCGGTGAACACGCCCGACACTGCACGCACCCTTGCGTGGCGCACGCGCTTCCGCGAGATTACGACGAGTGACCAACGGCAGAAGGAAAACGGGAGGCGGCAGCGCCTCAAAGAGAAGTTATTCCTGCGATATCATGCGATTTTTTTTTTCATTTTAATGCGTACGGAATGGGCGTGTCGGCGGAGAATACGTAATCCGCCATATTCCGATGAAATGTTGAATTGAATTGAATTGTATTTGCCTTATTTTACGTGGCGAGACTCGGGCCATCAGGCCCGCTCTTCCGTCTGACCACGCAAATTTCGCTACGCTCCTTTCACCAACTAGCAGAGGAATGAGGTATTTCTTGGGCGAGAACAGGAGATTTGAATTTAGCTCAGAGGCGTCATTTAGGCTTGAGGATATTTACATGCAAGTAAATCTACTAAAATGGGACAGCCGGCTTTACTTCCCCTCCGAAGGAAGGCGTACGAAGGATTTTTTCGCCCTTAAAAGTTCACGGCTTTGAAGGATTTGAACCCGCGAACTTGGGTACAACCATCCGGTACCGTTACACTATCGCCGCCGAAATGTTGCCGGATGTTTGAGAAATATGGTTTCTAAACGAATCTCATGAATTCAAAACTGTTTTTCAGAGAAGTCTGCACGAAATACGCACAGGAAACACTAATGTCACTAATATCAGTTTGGTTTCTAATTTTGAGACAACTATATAGATCAATCCTTAGACCTTATAGACCTTATATTATGTTAAACAGAGAAAACCTATAAACATTGGTTAAGACGTAGGATGGAAAATAAAAATAGCGCCTTTATGCCTTAATGATAAAGATGCACTTAATAATTATTATTATTAATAATAATAATTAATAATAATTGATAATAATAATTGATAATAATTAATAATAATAATTAATAATAATTAATATTAATTAATAATAATTAATATTAATTAATAATAATAATTAATATTAATTAATAATAATAATTAATATTAATTAATAATAATAATTATTATTATAGTAGTTGTTATTATAGTAAAATATTGTTTGCATTGGCATTGATAAATATATGTATATACTGGATTTTCTCTCAATTTCATATCTTTGCTATGGCTAGTCACAAAGTAATATTTATTATTGTAATTATTGAAAAGTAATAGAACAATCGAGAAAGTTTAGAATAACACGTAAACTACCATACTCTTCAAGCAATTGAATGAAATCGAGCCTATGTGACAATAACTCGTTTATTCCCTGACGTTACATGGATTTATGTTGCGAAGATATACTACCCAAGTAATATTAATTTAACGAAAAAAAAAATGAAATGCATCCGAAAGTAAATTTACCTTTACTGCCTATTTTTATCCAAAGACTTTCCATTCCACACAAACATTTCCCTATACATGAATTATATACATTTCTCATATTGTTCTTTCGCTCTCAACACCTCGAAAAAAAAACATGTTAATAAAATAGAGTACATGATTCAACAAGGAAGAATCGGCCTCTTCCACATAAAAAACAACAACACAACACACTCCGTCTCAATCCGGCGCAGCTGTCCAACGCGCCGCGGGCGGAGTCGCCCGCCCGGAACTGCCCTCGCGCCATCAGCTGCGCCGCTGGAGCAGATGCGTTCCAACGGCCAGACACCATCCGCGCGCCCGACAGGCCGGCGCCACGCTCAGCTCCCTCCTCCGCCGAGGAGTAGCGGAGGAGACCGATGAAGTTTACTGGGACATCGGTAAAAGGCCCGCGGCTGTCGTCGTTCACAGTTAACAAGCGAACATTCTGAGGTGCCCCTTGTCGATATGTGGCTGGAATTTGGATTTGTTGTAACACAAAATCTAAAGAAGTAAGTCTCTCGTGTGTCTTTTCCCTTTCTTTTCACTTTCTCGACCTTACTTCGTAAGAAGAGAGAGTATTGTAATCGTGCGCCGGAAAATGGAGAATTTTCGACAGAAAAACTCTTATTCCCAGGCCCCGGTAACGATAAGTACCGAAAAGTGAATAAATTGTGTTCCTATATGTAGTAAATTACGTCCTCTCACACGTTATAATGTCAGAATCCGTTTTGTGGTTCCTATATATCGAAAAATCAACTGACGGCCAAACATGACTGCGGTCAACGCCAGTTCAAAAACCGTTTAGCTGATTTTCTCCAAAATTCGTTAAACTTCTGACTTTTCGAAAATTGCAAAAGTAAGAAATAATGCAAGAAAGTATATGCTGTTGTGGTCCCAGTAGTTTTCTGAAGGCAAGCTTCAAACGGGAGACAAAGTGAGAGGCGCAAATATGGGTGTTTCCACTTAATCAGGATTTCGTAATAAAAAAATTACGTAATATAGAATAACAATAAAAAAAGTTTAGCTCGAAAATAGTGCATTTTTCTATGCGAAACAGTAAAATAACTTCTTTACGACCTTACTTTTGGACAGTGATCACTCCTCTTTAAAGGGTTTGTCCGCAGAAAAGAAAAATCACTTTGAGATTATTTCGTCATCCCTTATAATATCGGAAGTAAAGCAAATATGATAGGTACACATCCAGAAATGTGTATTGCAAGGTTTTGTATTTTTAAGGGGAGCAATCGTCCTCCTTTTGCAGGTTCTTTCCTTCCTCGTAATGTATCCTAACGTTTACTTTTTTCTTATTTTTTCGTCCTTTTCATTGTAAAAAACGTTGGCCAACTAAGTATTTTAATAATTTTCCTCATTTGTAGACTGCGTTGTTTTGTCATTGTCATTCACTCCTACTTCCATTCAGCTTCTCGCGACCAACTGTAATACATATTCACCTGTAATCAAGTATATTATCTTGTCTCATTCGTCTTCGAGTGTCTGCTTCGTAAGTATCCTCAAGTGTTCAAATTATTGTCAGCAGTTTGCTTTCCCTAAGTGTATGGTTCTACATATTTTGATGCATTTCCTTCTCAGCATTCAGTTTTTTTTTCCGATTTGGGTTTAGCACCATTTGAATACATAACTTTTCCCTGAATGTATCTTTTATCAGTCACTGCAAGGTAGATCTACGTGGAAGACGAAGTATTTTGGAAAGTTGTACAATGTGTAATTTTAATTCGATTTGCCTACGATACAATGCAAAACATTCATTTGTTGGCAACCGCAGAAATTGAGTTATTAGTTTTTGTTATGGCATCACTTAGTACAAAAAATTCAAATAAATTATTGTCAGATATTGTAACATCTGGTGATTTATTAAAAGCCTCTTTCATGTGATATTGACACGAGCACCCTTTGAGGATGTAGAGGTGAAGTTCCCAGTTATAATATAATATAATATAACACAACATCATTTTTGTTGTTTTTTAAAGAAATTTTAAAACTAAATGAATATTTTAAAGGAATCTTAAATGCAGCACTAACATACGTAATTGCGATCTAAAAAATGTTTCTAATCCTATCTGACGCAAGAGAGTGCTCATTATCCACAGGGATAATGAATCACGAGCGAAAGTTAAGGAGATGATAGCTGAATGGCATCACTAGTTACTTTCAAAGATCACAGCAAGCGAAAAGAAGCTTCTAAACGACACTAATTTTCCTTGAAGGTAATCACTATAATTAACACAAGTAGCACTGGTGAAAGTGAAAGAAGACGCCACAAGACCAGATCTATACAACAAATGGCAGCAATTCAGTAGTAAATAGTACACATCACGAAGAGAGGTCTGCATTCCGAATAACAGAAAATCAGTAATGTAGGTTAACGTCGTTCTTTGAAAATAATCACAACGCTTCGTTCATAAAGTAACCTCAAAGCCTTCATTTGAATGACTGCACCAGTTTCTTGTCAGTCAGTGCAATCCGTCCTCCGATGCCCCCAAGGCAATCAGGTGTGCCTGCTCTCGCAGCACGAGCACTCTCACGTTGCCTCCGTAAGTAGAGCAGGCAGCTGCAGTCGTCGGTACGTGCATCAGAAGTTATCTGTTTGAATGGTATTTATTTTAAGCAGGCCGATCTGCTGTAAATTTCTTACAGTCGGTTCAATTCTTGTAATTTAAAAATTCTCTCTAAATTACGTCTTCAGCAGACTCGACATACCGTAACGAGATTTTTTAGTATAACATAACTCCTTTATTTTTTTATTCATAATACACTGATTGAGAAAGATGAGTTTTGCAATAAGCGCATTAAATGAACAAAGGAAAAGACTTATAATTTGAAACTGAAAAAAAATGAGAGACCTTTCAAAGAGATTGGAATATAAGAATAAATAAAAACACTATTAATTTCCCCTTTAAAACGGAATTTTTTAATGCAAACTCACGGATCTGTTCTTCTTGCATTTTCCCGGCCATGATGGATCATGCGTTTCGCCCCCCCCCCAACATTCACAGATTTGCAATAATATTACTACATTTTAATGAGAATTTCTATAGTACTTTCTAATATGACTATCCAACTCGGTTTTGCAAAATAGATCTGGTATTTCACAGGAGACAAAATCAACAAATCGATCCGAATTTAGTTTTCATCTACTTTTTCTTACTATAATTTAAACTTATTATACGTCCCTTGTATCTAAATACTAATGTTAATTAACGAATCCCTAACACACTTTTCCCACAGTGAAAATTGGATGTTTGTTTGTAAGAGGAGCGTAGCTCATAAAGCCTTAACTATGGAGTTTACTCCGGACGTCCTTTAGGCCTTCTTCCGTGCGCCGTATCATATTCCGTCGTCGCTGCCATTATGTGAGCCGGCCACTCCCCAGGGGCACCGGGTGCCCCAGTTTGCCCCCTCCCCCTTTTCCGTCCGACGCCGTCCGGGAATCAACCGGGAGAGATGGCTCAGTGCATCCACTGATGGCAATGCAATTCCTGTGACCCAGAGATCCTAGGTTCGAGTCCCGACGGTGGCAAGAATTTTCGACACTAGTGAGTTAGATCGGATTCAGTCGCTGTCTGGAGGAGAATTCTCGCGGTCGGCTGCTCAGGTCGGTAGTTTTCCGCGGTTTCTCCAGTCAACACCAAGCGAATACCGGAGCAATACCCTAACAAACGGGCCACGGACCTCCCGCCATCTTTCCGACCTCTTCCTAATCCTATCCTCACAACATCCTATCCTACACATACACTTACATGCCCTTCACTATCACACATGCCGGGAGACCGGTCGAGAGCTTAGAGCTTGTCCCGGCTGGGGCGGTGATCCGCTGGTGGGAGATACCTTGTTGTGGAAGACCCCGTTAACCACCAGTAAGTCGGCGCCGGATCTCGCCATATAGCGGGGGAAAGATCACCGCCCGATCAAAAACAAAGACTACACTTACGGAACTAATGACCCTGGTAGTTGACGTGCCCGGAATCTCTAAACAATCAATCAATCAATCAATCAATCCGGGAATACGTTTTCACTGCCGCCATTCTTTCACCTACATTGACGCAAAACAAGGCAGCTCTCCATTATGATCGTCTTTGATTTCTCGGTCCAATTATTTCGCCTTCTTCGCGATTGCCACCCAGCCCTTTTCCCGGAAGTACAGAACCGTTTACTCGCTACTGATTACCCAACAGCAGCTAATCTCACTTCGAAATCCACGTCTCTGCTGGGAATATAACACATTAAGGAAGAACAGTAGAATGTTTTTTTTAAAAAAAATCGTAATCGTCTTATTAAGCGCGGACACTGCCATCGTTGTTTCTTGTGCGTACTTATTTTCTGTGCGTGGAAATTCCATTCCTCAGTGGTGTCATTCCTGTCAAGGACGTTCTGCAGCTTCTCACCCTACATGACCCCTCCCCCATTTTTATAGCAAACTCATCCAAGGCTACACATAAAACATTCTTATTTCTATTCCAGTTTTTCCCACTATGATATAAATTTAGAATAGTTAATTGTTGCTTTCCATACCTCCAACCACTGTGAGACATTTTCTTAATCAATAGATTGATCTACGTAAGGTTGGTGATCGGCCAACTGCTCGCCCCCTTACGTTTACGAATGAGGGCGGTATACGAAAGGAAGGATCAAGTGCGTCCCGTGACCCGTATTTTAGGGTGCTGTTCCGACATTCGCAAGGAAGTGATAAGGGGAGACAACTGATCAGAGCAGTGGCAATGTGTTCCATTGATTGATTAGTAATTTCAGGCGCGTTCGGTCATTCGTCCCGCAAGTGTTTCCCCAAACTAGATATCTCTCACCAGCCTTGCACCGCCCCAGCCGCCCCACCGCCCCACCGCACCGCCTCACCGCAGAAGCTCTAACGTCTGGATTGGTGTCTTGGCATGAGTGGTAGGGTAGTATATGTAAACGTAAGTGCGTGTTAAGGAAGAAGTGAGAACAGGTAAAGGAAGAGGCAGGAAAGATCGCACGCGGTCCGTGGCCTGTTAGGGTACTGCTTCGGTATTCGCCTATTGTTGATCGGAAGAACACGGAAAATTACCGATCAGAGCAGCCGACCACTAGAATTCTCCTCCAGCCATCGACTGAATTCCATCCAGCTGATACGCTAGTGTCGAAAATCCTGCCACCGCAGAGACTTGAACTCTATTTCCTTCTGATCATCAACATCAGTTGATAGTAAACTTTAGCTTCCGAGGCTCGAGTCCACAGCCAAGACGACCCCCCTGAGAGATGCCCTGAACCACATTTGCCGGTGTGAGAATACGAATTCGATTTCGACATGCGCCACAAAACAACCAACGATCCCACGCGATTTACGGTGTAAATTTCTAGCCTCATATGGGTATAGAACGGGCGACATCCCAATCACTAGTACGTCCGACCGAGAAGACGTGCTGATTCGCCCATCGTTTCCGGCGTTGGCAGGTCTCGAACTTCTTCAATCTAATGTGTAACTACACCACAATTTTCGCCTTCCCGCACTAACGTCTCGGCTTCTACGACATTGCTCAACCACTTTTAATTCGCTTCTGCTGCTCTTCGCCGCTTCCTTCATCTACCGCTTCGCGGCGGTGCGGCGCGGCGCGCGGTCACATCCTTCTCTGCGTCCATCTCCCTCCGCTCTCTGCGCCCCGCTCGCTCGACCTCTCACAGGTGCCGTCTCCGCCGTCTAGTGGCCGCTCGCCAACCCACCGCCGCCGCCGCTACTTCCGTCTGCAGTTTTCCTCGTGCACCGCATGGGAGGCGGCGGCGGACGCGCAGCCGGCGGCGTCGGCGTCGCGATACCGGATCGTACAAGCGAAGAGTACTTCTTACGGGATGGGCGGGCGGGGGGGAGAGAGAGAAAGAAAAAAAGAGGAGTGATTTACAAAGCGGAAATGGTGTGGAGGGCGTGTGATGCGGTGCCCCGGGCGTTGCCGCCGTCGGCCGATGCGCCCCGTCGGCGAGTGGGGAAACCAACAGCTTCCTGTCGAGGGTCAGGTCACGGCCAATCAATGGTCGCCGATGGCTGAGACAAAACATAAAGAGGAAAGGAGAAAAGGAGAACAGGAAAGGACCTTCGCCTTAAATTAATGAACGTGACTAGAGGACACATTTTGATGGCCTAAAACCTCGCCAAAAAATTATCAATAAAATGCCCTTAAAATGGTTTAAAATGATCTAGAAGCGAAGAAAAATGTTGATCAATATCACTTCAGATGAACAATTCAAGCTGTTGGCTATGCGACTGATGTAAATGAGGCTTCTTCCTTTCGTTCGAGTGAACACAGCTTGCAAACTTTTGGTTTGGACTGTTTTTTTTACCATGAAATCTCTGTCTTTTTAATTATTGGCGAAACTGACAATAGCGCTGAATCTTAGATTACATACAACGGCTGATATTACAATTTCTGGCTGAAGAAATCGAATAGGCTACTCAGGAATTCTGTGGAGAACACGTGCTGTCTCTCATAAATATTATTGGACGCAAGTATCATTAAAATGATATTAAAATTGATGAAATTAGTGAAAAATTCTTTAAAATGACGAGAAAATGTAAAAAATTACTCATTAATTGAAATCGAAGAAAATGCAAAAAATATTACATAAAAATGGGTAATTTCCTTTTGACATGACATAAAATTAATATCTATAGTAAAATATATTGTTCCAAAGGGAAAAGAAAAACAAAAGACATTTTATTAAAATCCGACACCTAAATATAACTAAATACAATAGTCATAGTATATAAGTACGCGCTCTTAGCCACCTTGGCCGACTAGGTCAGCTGACTGTTAGTAGTATTTTAATTGTGGTATCAACGTGGCTGGTTATTGAACAGTTATTGACAGACTGGCCATTGAACACTTCGGACAGGGGAAAACAGAACGGCAAAACTTTCATGGACATTTTTTGTACGGATAATGAATACTTTCCTAAACAAATACAAGACGATACGACGCAGTTTGTAAGAATTAGAAAAAAAACAGGATTTTACTGATGTTCAAGAACCCAGACTGGAGTTATCCTGCCAGCCATACAAAACCACTTCCCGGAAACCGTGAAGAAGAGAGAGAATTGTCAACGGCCACAGCAATCGACATTCGATACGTTATGTCCCACAAGGGAAAAAACATGACTAAAGGAAAAGCAAAAGGGTGTATATAATGTTAATGCACTATTTATCCATATTATTTGCTTATTATTATCATCATCATTATCATTTATTATTATGCATATAATAAACGAGTAAATATGTTAATAATAATAATAATAATAATAATAATAATAATAATAATAATAAATACTTGATAAAATCTAAAATCTATTCTAGGAAGCATCGGGCATCCTAAGAAGCAAATCCAATGGCTACGGGTGCCTCTGCGACAGTTTAAAAAATTAAGTACAAACAGTCCAAAATATGGGCTGTAATATAACTATGACGTTTTGACAGTATTTTGAATGTCCTGGGAGTCTGGACAAGTTTTTAAATGAATTGATGAGCAATCATTTGAGTACAAGTCAAGAAAAAAACTTCTTTTACTGTAGAGCAAAGAAACTGTTTCACTCCCTTTTTTTAATAGTATTAAAAATACTTACCGTGCACAAAAAATACCGTGTTTCATAGCAGTATTTCACTTGTCAACTTTTTACCACACACAGATATCGAGCTGAAGTTTAAAATTCACGTATCTAGTTTTCGCCAAAAAATGACTTGATCTCTCATGATCGCCCAACAAAGTACGCGGAGCAAATTCCAGACCTCCCATAACTTCGATCGATACAACCAGTGAACTTACTCTTCACTTGGGAGCTCATTTTGATTTCCGAACCCTTGTGTGCGCGATGATTTTCCGGATCCATGTAACACTGTCACAATCGCGTGGCACAGATACATTAAAAGGTTTTTTTCCGGAAATCCCAAACAGAAACAACCAGTTTCTTTGCTGCTGCCGTGCGATCATTAGGGGTTTGGAATACTCACTAAAGTCTGCAGTGAATAGTAGTAACATTGGAAGCATGTGTTTGAAACTTTGAAGGCATTATGGCTCTACCAATGATCGTCACTTTTGAATTCGCGCTTCAATTGCGACTTCCTTACTGAGAGTTGTATGTTTCTTAATACTTCGCGAACAAACGATCATCTTCGAGCGGGTAAATGTAGAACCTCGCGTTGATCTCAAATATTTTGCGGTAAACGTTTCGAGGTACGGTATTTTGACTTCATTTTAATGAAAATTCCTCTTTTATACAAATTTTCATACGTATTATATTTGGCAAGTGTGTTTCATTAAGACGAAAATCCCGCTGAGTTTGACTGTAGAATTGTCTTTGGTCGTTTTATAAAGCAACCCAAATGGGTTTTTGCATAGGATAATTTTCCTGTTGATTGATTTATGCAATTTTAATAGACACTTCAGGATTAAGTTTTCTTTTTTTATTTGCTACTAATTGTCAACATAGATCCTCAAGAGCTTCCCTGGCTGAATTATGTACAGCATATGATGTCTTACACATACCGCAAAAGCTGCTGAAAAAACACGCTTCATATCAGAATTATTGATTACTATTGTCCAAAATCCTCTGGACTAGGCACAGCTACACAAATCAATACTAATTATTTCCCATTTTTTCAATTAAACTTCATATTTCACACCAACTTCTCATATCAGCAACTAATTCACAGTGTCTTTGTTATTAATTTGCTTTAATGTAACATCATTCTTCTTTTGATGAGATGTACTTCCGGATATAAAGCTGCCATTTCTCGTTTTAGCCTTAATTGCCATTAATACTTAGTAGAAAAAGGTGCCTCCGTTAATCACTACATGTTTGTGTCACAACCTCGTTCAGTTTACGGATGAACTAATGGTTGGGCATCCTTGACATCATCGTATCTCGTACTAAGCTCGAAATCCCGTTGTATAGTTGTGTAGAAGCAAAGACAGGGCGATGCGGAAGCGTCAGGAGGTACGGGTGTCCTCAGGACCTGTCCAGGTAAGAGCTACAGAGTCCCAGAATGTGACGTGACATTTCAGAGTTGACTTATTGTCAACGAGAATTAGAAGACAGACGAGGTGTCCAGGACATTTTAGCGTACAAAGCACACGACAGTAATGAGTCTGCTGTTGCTACTTTACCTTTCCCCACCATTTAACCTTTCTTCCGTAACCTTCCAGGTAAACGCCAAATAGGCATAAACATGTAAATTTACACCCACTCACAACTCAGGAAAGAGAACAACGAGAAGTTGTGAGGTGGAAGACACACGAGTTTTTCGACGGAGAAGTTCCGCCGAGTGTTTCGTCAGCGCTACAAAAAGCAACGCTCGCGAGGGACTCACCAGTTCGAAGTCGAAGTCGCCGTCCCGCGAGTGCTGCAACAGACAAAACAACACCACGTTACTTGTTTGTGCTAATCTCGACAAAAAGATTTCATATTGTGGGAAAAACATATCACAAAATCTTGAAGCTTTAATCTTTAATACATAAAAATTCAAAATTACGAATAAAATGTGATATATTATACAAAATTATAAGTAGACCATCTTTTACTAACACTTGTATGGTGCAACACATCTTCCACGCATATGAAAAAAAATTATAAACGCAACAAAATACATTTTTAAAAAAGTTTTAAAAAATACAAGCCGAATAGTTTATATCAAATACGCAAAAACATCGAGAATTACAAATAGAACCTATTAAAACATTTATCATGACATAGTGTACAAAGTTTTATAACTTATAACCTTCTACATCTGCCTCAAAAAACTTTGATTTAGGTCAACACTATGAATCTCTTCGAATTTGCTCAAGATTCCCCAAAGATAATTTTCATCCTCCATAATTTTCTTTTTACAAATTTTAAACACAACTTTTTAATAGCAAATATTTATAATTAATCCCTTCTAATCTTTTCCATTAACCCTTTTTAAACTATACATTCGTTAATTTACCATTTTAAAAATTGGTAACTAATTTACCTAATCAACAAATCGCTTACCCTTGCTTAAAAGTTAGTTTAAGTATTTTTAAAGCCCCTGAAAAATTGTTTTACAGTTGAACAGATAGCAAATAAAAGTTAAAAAAATAAAGGTGAAAGTGCGGATTCCATCAAAGTAACGCTCGAGATTCTTTCTCAGAAGTTCTGAGGAAACGAAATACCACTCAACATGTTTACAGAATAACTCACTCTTGGGCAATGCAAGGTGTACACAGAAGGAGCTACCGCGAAAGTCATTAACTGATGTCACGGCAATGCCTCTGACCGGGAGGTCCTAGGATCGAGTCTCGAAAATGACAAGATTTTCGTCACCTGCTAGGTCGAGTTCAGCCGCTGTCTGCAGGGGAATTCTGCCAGCCAACTGCTCTGATCAGTTTTCCGTGGTTTCTCCAGCAAAGAAACGAACAACAGTGTACTAAACATTTTTTAGATTTTTATTTAGGCGAATAAGACATTTATAATATGTAGTCATGGGTCCGTATCTCAATGAAATTGGTGTATAGAATACTTACAAAGGCTAATAGTTGTACTTCAAGTACGCGTAGGATAATCTGTGGTACTTCTCGAATGCTTCATGGTACTTAGCATTTCGAGAGATATAACACATTCACGAGTAAAGTAGTCACTACTCTTTTGCAGCTGTTCATATACTGTCGATCGTTAAAGTACAAAGACCTTCGGTTCAGCTTGACTCAATCAATGATATTTTTATAAGATAAAGAACGAAACAGTGTTTAACATCTGCCAAGTTTTTGTGCACCAAATAATCGCAAGTGGGGCCCGCAAAAATCGCAAATGTGAAGTCTGGTTTATCATCAGTACATTTGGGGTAGTCGTTTAAATGTGGATTGCGATTCGGTAGAGAAAATAGTACGTCATGCACAATGGATAGAAATTTTGAAATTTTAACCAACTCTGGGAGACAAGTACCAAACTAATCTACAAAATGACACATATTTTCTCTCACTATTTGCGACGGTTATGACGTAATAAAATTAAAATATGAATTATTATAATTATTAATTGTAATTAATATTATTACGTAATCGTACTATTACATTATTATTATTATTATTATTATTATTATTATTATTATTATTATTATTATACAAGTTCAGCATTTCTTGTATTTCAAACTATCGTAAACAAATCTCTTTTATTTAAACTTTTTCATACGAAGCATTATACGTCTATTTTATAATATTTTATAAATACCACCTAACAAAACATATGTAATTTTTTGTCAAATTCACAGACAATATTTGGCAGTTTTTAGTAACTTATCTCAAAGATATTCAATAACATTGTTGCCATAACATCAATATCTTGAAGTTAGTTTTAAAAAAAGGTTGTTTTTAAACAATGAGTTATTTGAAAGTGATGTCCATAAAATACTTTCCCCATTCGAAAAGATATTTTCAAGTATTTTTCACTTAGTACTGAATATCTACTCTCCATCCCTAGTGAATACACAAGTGAAATGCGTAGTTAAAAAGAGAAAAGAGCAAGAAAGGCAGGCGAACAAGCGAACAAACAAACTTCGGAGCTAGAAGAATGCCTTAGGCCGAGGCAGATAGTTGTCGCAAACTAAATGTTCGTTTTAGTGAGAAGAACAATGAATTCCAGTTAGAACCGCTAACCAACCACATTATTTTTATGCACATATTTCTTCACGAAAACCCGATTTAACTCTTCTAACACTTCGCGAAAATCCAACATACAAAATTCGCATCAAAAACAAATTTACATTTCACACTTTCCTTAAGATATTCTCAGATTTCGACCCAAAGTAGAGTTGTCATTTAGATAACTCCCTAGTAGTAAGATTATTGTAAGCTAATTGGAAGTAGATTTAAGCCATCATAACAAATTCAGAATTTTTATCCATTGATCTTCATTCGAATATTGCACAATCCAAAAGAAAAGAAGGAAAATATGGAAGGGAAGGAAAGAGCTAGTGCAAAACACATCCGATCCATTGGCATTTATATATTAAAATATACACTGTACATAAAACGCACACTAAAAGGGAAAATTAGAAATCAACTAATTTTCTCTGATTGTTCGTGTGAAAATATCTTATGGATCATCAGTTCAAAACTCCAAATCGTTTGAAGAAAAATACCGAAATATATGCGAAAACTTAAGTGTCCTGTCGGGAAATGTGCACTAAAAGTTTAATTGGCGAAAAAGAATACTCCCGTTAGCGCTAACGAGGAAAAACCGCCCACAGGCAGATGGGGATGATACGGCTTATTAGCGAGACGGATCCTTTTTTCCTTAGAAACGGTAGGACAAGAAGAGCGCATTTTCCTCCTAAGAACCGGCGGACGCGTCGTGTAAACGTCGCCCATTGAGAGTAATTAGCTGTGAACGTAATATGAGCGAATACATTATCTTAATGATTCTCGAAGAGAGTGCTGCCGCAGACCAGTGTGACGCGAAAATAATTTAGCAAGAAAAAAAAGAAGACATTATACTTTGAGACTTTATGACCACACAATTACATTTCCAAGTCAATTAAAATTACAATTACAAAACGTAATAACATTATAATAATTATCTCAGGTGCAACATTATCTAAGTAGTTTGTTCGAACAACTGTCCAGATGAGTTTCCTAGAGGGTGCTTGGCCTGATCGATCTTTTCCATGAATGGATGGCGGATGTCGCGGCGATACATCAAACATTATAACATCGATAAGTGAAGTCATTACAACATCGATGTTTTGCTTCTGATGTTTTCTTCAGATCGATATATTTGTGAACAAACATTGATGTTTTCAAAAGAAAGTCTCATGATATAATTGAAATTTCCAGTATCAATTTTATTGCGGATTGCTTGCAATCAACAGCCATTGACAACTGTCACTATTGTCGATCCTCATGCGGTCAGAAACTGTTTGCAATTCGTATTCTTTCTCCAGTGGTGATACCTTTTTCCCCATTATTTCGTACGTGGTAATATCGTTTAACTGTAATTTGAACCTTGACTACATAGAACATTGATAGGAAAATTAAGATGACAGTGACGCTTAAGTAAGAATATTTTTTAAAGTTTAAATTAATATTGACGTGTTATGTATCACATTAGAACCAGGAGACAACTTCAAAATGTTTAATCAAATTTAAAACATCGATTTTTTAAATACCGATGTTTTCATCGAAAATCTTCTAGTGATGTTCCTACGTATCGATGTTTTGCTAAGCGTTGCCATCACTAATCACTGACCGCACGCGTTCTTTCCTTCCCAATCCTTTGGGTCGGCGGCGGCTTAATACAATTGAAGATGTTGGAGCAGAAACATGATCAGCCACATTAGCTGCAGACAGCTCCCCGCTTCCAGTAAATGTTAATATTTCTATTTTGGTCGAAGTAATTTCCATCATCTTTCTGACTCAAGACGTTTCACAATATGAACAAGAAATATTCAGTAGCAAGATAATCCACACTGTCATCGAAACCAAGATATCACGTTTACAAATATCGGAAGGCTTCTTGTGCCAGATGGCATGCCTTGTACTGCCCAAACCTTTCAATTATAAAAAGCTAAGCGTTAACTGTTAGGAATCAACTGTGACGTTCACAGACGATCGAGAGGTGGCTGGGTGTTCTTTGAAAGACTTGAAATTGGTTAAATGTAAATGTTATGTCACAGGAAAATGTAAATTTTTAAAACAGTTTTCATTTAAATAAAGGTCCAATTAAAAATATATATTATATAACAGTTGAGTTGATTCATTTATTCACTGAATATTCCCATGGGTCTTTTTTTTCCTGATGATCTAAAAGGGCTCCGATATTGTTGTAGATGCTGATTATAATAGTATTCAGAAGCGTAGCAAGTCTTTTAAAATTGTATAATACTAAATTATAGGTAATGTATTAATTTAGTATTATTAGTAGTATTATTAATTTAGTAGAGGTAATTAATTAATTTAGTATTTATTTAGTATTAGTGCCTATACAATGAAAGACATACTTCAGGGACATGTGGTTTGGTTTTGTGTTCCAATATAAAGCAATTTTCAATTTATAAAACAGTAATTTCCGTAAATTTACATATGTTCGCTCTATTTCAACTATTAACATTTCGTTTAGCCAATACTGACTGTATAAGAGGGAAATCTGCCAAGTCAGAATTGTGAAGAAAACATTGAACAGAAGGAATTGCTACCACCACTGTCATGACATCACGTGCATTTATACACTTTGTGTGATGGAATGTTGACACACACACACACACACACACATTGTGTTTGAGAGTTGTTGCCAAAAATTAATTAGATAGTTTGTGAGGTAGTTACCTTCTAATAACTAACTAACTAAATAAATAAATATAGTAAATTGAAAGTGTTGTCTGGTACCAAAAAAAATTATTTTGCTAATTATCGTTTTGGTCGGGTAGCGATCAGAGCTTGCAGCTTTCTGCAGAACTTGGGTTTTCGGCCCAGAAGCTACAAGCTCTGAGGATGATCGCTACGCGATCGAAACGATCATTAACAAAATAAATGTTTGATACCAGACAACACTTTTAATTTACCATATTTAATGTTAATGTTATTTAATTGCTAGCAATAAAAAGACTTCTTAGGAAGACTGAATCGAGCGAAGACATTTTTAAAGTGTAAAAAAAGAAGGCTGATTTTCTCTGACTGAGACTCTCAAGGACGGATTTTTTTTACAAATACGAAATCTTTTTCAGAATTCTCGTAATCAAGGGTTCAAGGGTTTATGAAATTTTCACTTACACATCATCGACTAACATGTTGCTTCATGAGAAATCACAAACACGCGTCACGACTTGAGCGCATTCGGTGACGTTTCGATCCACAGCATTCCCACCGCGTTGCCGACCGCGCCACCTGTCGCCAATGGGCGGAGGAGGAAGTGCGGAGCGCATGCCGTCGTGACGGGCGTAATGTACTCGCTGCGTACCTTTCACCGCCCTGCCCC